ATTAAAGTAATTTCAAGTTTTCAATCCTAACTGTGATATTGTATATTGTAATTTAAACTGTTAATGAGGTTATCCCGTGTATTAAATAAATAAATAAATAAAATTACTAGATTGCTTCATCTTGATAACCCACTTCATATTCTATCAAATAGAAAATTTTACATTAAAACTGGAATGGAGCTTATAAATGAGAGACTCAATGATATGTTTACATTTTTCTTTATTAAAGAAAATAAAACATGAAATTGATTGAGCCTCATGTTGAAAAGTCACACTGTAGATCTCCAGCGATGACTCTATTTAAAGAAATCCTCTAAACATCAAGGCAGTGATTGTCAATAAACGTAGTATCTTTCCTTTCATGATTGAAAATTAATAAATTGATAGTTTGACAAAAAAAGCTTTTGTTGAAAACTGTGGAAATGACAAATTTAATATATGGGGATAGAACTTCAAAACACGACCATTTATACTTTATGCTGTTTTGTGATAATGGCCAGTTATATCTAATGATAAGGAAGATATGGATTATACTATTCGTAAGTTAAGACATTTGGAGTTGTAAGTGTCAATATCCAAAACACTACATATCATTGTGTTAGTGAAGAACCTAGTGATCTAAATTTCAATAATGGCAGAATAAAATCACATACTACCAACAATATAACTCATCCTCATCCTTATTGACATCTTGGCATATGTGTTGTGGTGCATCATTGAGCTTCTGCAGCTCGGATAGCCTGATCAATGATACTTTTCCATTTGTCGTGGTCATCTAATAACATGTACTGTCTCAGTATACTGATTGTTGAGAAGCTTTTTCGTGATATCTGCCCATTGCTGTGGAGGTCTGCCGCGTTGGCGTGGACTCTGAGGCCCTCCTTGAACCACCAACTGCTCCATTTTGTGATCACTTCGATGGATATGACCAAAGAAGTTTAAAATTCTAGAGTAAACAGTACTAGAGAGACGTAAACAGTACTATAGAGGGCTTAATTTCATCCAAAACCAAGATGTTCGTACGGCGAGCCGTCCATGGAACTCGAAGCAGTCATCTCCATTCCACAGCGTCTATGTGTCTGATTCTTTAACTGTCCATGTCTCGCATGCATAGTAAAATATGGAAAAGATCAGAGTTAAAACGAGTCTGTCTGTTCTTGTTTGTCATAGTAATGTGACGATCACGTCAAACCCCGTTTAGTTCAGTCATTACTGCTCTTTTCGGGTTCATAACTGCCTGTGTTGTTAACTAGAGCTCCAATATTATATCATAGAGAAGACTACCTAGCATCCCGCAATAGTTCAGGTTTCAGGAAACCGTTGTTGACGATCAATAATCATGATTTTGGTTTTGCTGTAGTTAATTTTGAGCCCAAATTTACATTTTCTGCCTCTAGTTCTTTTAATAAGTTAGTAATTTCTTCTGAAGTAGAGGCTAGAAGAGTACTGTCGTCTGCGAAACGCAAGTTAGATATCTTGACACGCCTAGGTTCACTCCCCCCTCCCATCCATCCAAGACTGCGCATTATGAACTCTAAAGAGATGTTAAATAATAAGGGAGATAACACGCCTCCTTGACATACTCCCTTCTCCAAAATGCATTCGTCAGACACATATCCGTCTATTCAAATATATGCTAGATTATCTTGATAGAGTTTGCTAATAAGGTGAGTCAAGTGTTTAGGTACACCCATTGTCGCCATTCTACGTTTCGTACATTAAGGATTTGTTCAACCAACTTCAAACCTACAACAGCAAAAAAAGCAATTTCTCCTCTCAATGGCCCTATATGAAATAAAAACATTACAACGACGAGAAAATTTAATATATAAAAATCAGTTTAATTGTATGGATCTGTGAATTGCAGACTAACAAAGAAATATTAAAAATTGTGTATTAGCTGCTTTTTTTATTAAGACTATCGGCAATCTCATTAGCAACAATTTTTTTCTGCTCTGGCACGCACAGCAAAGCTTCTTTGACTACTTTTGGCTACTAGTCCAGATGCTTGGGGACTTTTTGCATTTCCAAAGTTTTACCTACTCAGTTGTAGAGTGTTCAGTGCAGCTTGACTTTCTGAAGAAATTAATATTTTTGCTCATGTTTTTGTGATTTGTACCCATCAGTATAAAACGTGAGATTATCTCGTGACTTATGCTATTTGCGTTCTTATAACCTTTAAAATCCGTATCACTACTAAGACTACTGTTAGGATATTTTGTGATTTCAGCAGGACTTTCGACTGTGCCTATCACGAAGTTTTAATTTCAAAAATATCTCTATTTAAGGATGTGCACTGAATTGGTTAACATCTTATTTAACTGCACGTCGACAATACGTCAGCTTTAGCGGGAAAAGCAACATATCCAATGCGAATCATAAACCTAATTATCTCGATATTAACATAGGTGTACCACGAGTCTCAATTTTAGGACCCATTGTATTTCTTATTTACGTAAACGATGTTGTCTCGGTTAACTCAGATGAATATTTTACAATATTTGCAGATGATGTAAAGTGTTATAATTAACGCATCTGATACCTCTTTGGGAGTCCAAATGTAATCGTTTTCTATCGGATTTTCATCCTATTGTTGAATATCCAAAAAACTCTTTTTATGCGGTTTTATACTAGGCAACGATGTATTAACCCAATTAATTTAAATATAAATAATAATCATATTGCAAATGTTTCATCAGTAAAGTTCCTAGGACTCTATATACACTGCGCGTCACGAAAAAGAGGCCACCTTAAATTTTTGCCATTTTTTAATTTTTACGAATCATACCACAAAGTGATTGTCATTAGATGTTTGTGTAATGTTTAAGAATGTGTTCTAGAGCAGTATGCAATCATTTTTTAAATAACAAAAATGTCAAAAAATAACTTCTTTCAAAATTTATAACGATTTTATTGAAAAATAAAAAAAAATTAACATTGTACATTTTCCTGTTTTCTTTATAAAATTACAATTAAGTCGTGATTATTAATACTATGTATTACCACTTCCATTGTGAATTACACTCCTCATTCGATTTGGGATGTCGCTTTGAGGAAAAGCTTCCCATCCTTCCATGAGCGCCAACCGAAGCTGCTCACGATTTATTGGAGCAGGTATTCTGTTTCTTACCCTTCGTTGGAGTTGGTCGCAAAATCTGGACTTTGCGCCGGCCAGTTCATTTTTGACACACCGACAGTTTTCAAATATTGCGTTATCATCCTGGCTACGTGTGGCCGCGCGTTGTCTTACATAAAAATAAAGTTTTGGACGACAAACCCAGCAAAAGGCATTACATGCTCGTCTAGAATTTCGGTAATGTATCGGTGTGCATTCAACACTCCTCTATTAATAAATACGAGATCAGTACGGCCCTCGAATGAAATGCCTGTCCAAAACATTACCGCACCTCCTCCAAAAACAACACGTACTCGTCGAACACAAGCAGCATATCGTTTCCTACGTCTTCTGTATGTTTTGATGCGACCATCTGAGACATAAAGAACTATACTGGACTCGTCACTAAACATTTTTCCAATCTTCTATCGTCCAATGCTCGTTCTCTCTAGCAAACTTAAGTCGGCGTTATCGATTTGCTGCTGTTAACAAAGGTCCTGTTTCTGGACAGCTAGCCCTTAGATCAAATTTACTCAACCTTCTGTCGTTCGTGAGATCCAGTCGCTACGAATCGTTGGTAAATTTTTTGGACCATACAACGCCTGACTCCAAGCTGTCTGGCAACTTCTCTTTGACTCATTCCATTATCAATCAAAGTAGTAATTTGAACAGATCTAGCAAATTTCTCAGCCATAGTTTTTAATTTAAAAATTGCACAAGTTTGCACTTCGTACAACTGTACACTAGTGAAAGGATTTTGAAAAACAGAATAGTCATATTCCAAGAAAACGAAGGTACAAACAACACGTGCATTATCCGAAGTCATAAAACTGATATCAATTCTGAAAACTTATTACCCTTAATTGACCTGTCGGTGCCTAAAAGACGCTAGTGTTTCTGCATTGTGGGAATTTAGTTACAATAGAATAAATTGTATAAACCCAAAGTTATTGAAAAATTCTTACAAAATTCTAGGTGGCCTCTTTTTCGTGACGCGCAGTGTAGATAAATGTCTTGCTTGGAGTAAACATTCGGATGTACTTGTCGCAGAATTAAATTCAGTAACTTCTTTGTTCCTAAATTTAAAACAAGTTTTAACGGAGAAACAATAGTGCTTTATTATGCCTAAGCCGAATCAAGATACGGGATTTGTTTTTGGAGAACAAGTAGCCACATTAATGAAGTCTTTATTGCACAAAAAAGAATAATACTATTGATGGTCTCCCCCAGAATACTACGTTGTTGCATACATTACTCAAAAATTCAAAATACTGGATTTGGCTTGTCTATATTCTGGAGACTTATAGAATTTGTATTTAATAACATCGAAAATTTTAAAACCAATGCACAAGTTTACAACTTAAATACTAGATACAAAGATACCTTAGGTGCCCGAATGTGCAGAGGAAATATATAATATATATTTCAAGTTTCCTAGTATAATAGGATAAATACTTTTTTATAGGTAATTAATGCATATAAACTTGTCTAATAGCATAACAAGCTTTAAATTAAATTTAAAGGAATTTTTGATTGCACGCATTTTTTATTCAGTTAAAGAATTTCTTCAATTTTAAATTCTGTGTTGTTTTAAAAGTGTTTGTTTTATTGACCAATTCTATACAGAATATGTTTGTCTAACTGAAAATAAAGTATAAGAATTACAAATATGCTATATTTCAAGTCGTAATTTATATACTGACAAACTTTAAAAATATACGGCATCTTACATATCAACAGATTGCTGATATGTTGATCCTATCGGAGTCACTCGCATCTCGAAAAGTATCACAAAGAAATAAAATGTTTCACGTTTTTGATACTTAATCCCTTATTCAAATATATTTTACTAGTTTATTTAATTTTTATTTTTTTTTTGTTTCAGCGGCGCACTTGATGGAATGATTGGATTTTTGTGAAAATACTGAGCGTTTGTTAAATTAAGTGAAAATGGCCGAGCTGCTAGATTTCAGTCAGAAACTGAACATCAAACTGCTTGACAATGTGGTGATTAGTATGTATGCAGGCAAGGGTGAATCGCAGAGGATAGCACAAGAAGTTTTAACAACACTGAAAGAACATCCTGATGCTTGGACAAGAGTTGACACGATTCTAGAATATTCAACAAACCAAGAAACGAAATACTATGCGTTGCAAATTTTGGAACAAGTTATCAAAACACGTTGGAAAGTCCTACCAAGAAATCAATGCGAAGGCATTAAAAAATATATCGTTTCTTTAATCATAAAAACTAGTTCTGACCCGGAAGTTTTTGAAAGCAACAGAACATACCTAAATAAGTTGAATATGATATTAGTACAAGTGTTGAAGAGAGAATGGCCTAAAAATTGGGAAAGTTTCATACCAGATATCGTGGGTGCGAGCAAAACAAACGAGAGTCTCTGTCAAAACAACATGATTATTTTAAAGTTGCTAAGTGAGGAACTGTTTGATTTCGCGTCCGGTCAAATTACGCAGACTAAAGCAAAGCATTTGAAAGATACAATGTGTTCAGAGTTTTCTGCAATATTTCATTTATGTCAATTCGTTCTTGAAAATTCGCAAAATCCCCCACTCGTTAACGCAACCTTGGAAACATTACTAAGATTCCTAAATTGGATTCCCCTCGGTTACATTTTTGAAACTAGTCTTATAAATACTTTGATCTTCAAATTCTTACCTGTCCCTATGTTTCGCAACGTCACTCTCAAGTGTCTCACTGAAATAGCTGGAGTCACTGTCAGCAATTACGATGATATGTTTGCAGCGTTGTTTACCCAAACTATGGCGCAGTTAGAGATGATGCTGCCGCTGCAAACGGACATTAAAGGTGCTTACGCTTGCGGACAAGACTCAGAGCAAAATTTTATTCAGAATTTGGCACTGTTCCTGTGTACTTTTTTAAAAGAACACACTAGTATTGCTGAGAGTCAAGTTCATAATTTAGGAAAAGCTTTGCGTTATTTGTTATTAATTTCTGAAGTAGAAGATGTAGAAATATTTAAGATCTGCCTTGAATACTGGAATAGCTTCGCTTTTCAACTATATCAAGAAGTACCCCATGGCATCGCTATATTCGCTAACAAAGCAAAAGACTATGGTAACTTCTACCACGATTTATACAAAGAGGTTCTCAATAAAATTAGATATATAATGATTTCTCGAATGGCAAAGCCTGAAGAGGTGCTCGTTGTAGAAAATGACAATGGCGAAGTGGTGAGAGAATTTATGAAAGATACAGATTCTATTAATTTATATAAAAACATGAGGGAGACGCTCGTTTACCTTACTCACTTAGATTGTGCCGACACAGAAAGTATTATGACCAATAAGCTACAAAATCAAGTGAATGGGACGGAATGGTCGTGGAAAAACCTTAACACGCTTTGTTGGGCAATTGGTAGTATATCTGGGGCAATGCATGAAGAAGACGAAAAACGATTCCTTGTTACTGTTATTAAAGACCTCTTGGCACTTTGCGAACAGAAACGAGGCAAAGATAATAAAGCTATAATAGCCTCCAACATTATGTATGTAGTTGGTCAGTATCCAAGATTTCTCAGAGCTCATTGGAAATTCTTGAAAACTGTTGTAAATAAATTGTTTGAATTTATGCACGAAACCCACGACGGGGTCCAGGACATGGCATGTGATACTTTTATTAAGATAGCACTGAAATGCAGGCGACATTTCGTAACAACACAAATTGGGGAATCTTGTCCCTTTATCGAAGACATCTTGGCTTCAATTCCGACCATCATTTGTGATCTGCAGCAACAACAGGTTCACACTTTTTATGAAGCTGTTGGTTACATGATTTCAGCTCAAGTTGACACCGCTACACAAGAGGCTTTGATAGAAAAATATATGATGTTACCCAACCAGGTAAAGTATTAAATAATAACATTTTTTATAATTGTACATATTTAAAAAGTTATATCAAATATTGCATGAAAATCGTATTAAGTATCTCTCTCTCTCTCTGTATATTTAAAAATTATAAAAATGATTAATTTTGATAATATTCGTTAAATCAAATAATTACAAAGTAAGTCAAAATGCAAGCATATTTTGTTTTTCAAAAAGGTATTTGTTTTTCAGATAATGTTTAGTTATTTTTGTAGGTATTTAAACATTTGCTATTAAATATTGTGAGTTGGCCATGATAAATTTGTCAAAAACTGACATTGTACCAAAATGGTATGTTAATTTAGTAATCCGGATAAAATATGGAGGGTGATTGGCAAGGTTAGCAACCTACCAATCGTAAAAACAAATACTGCTCAAAGAAGCAATGTACAGATTTGAAACCGGATTGATACTATGAAGACGACTACGGCAAGAAATAAGGGCAAGCGAAAAACATCCAAAAGGTGAGAATTACTACTTGGAATATCAGATCACTCAACTTAAGGGACCAAGAAATAACCCAAGTGCTGAAAGGGAAAGAAATATACATTTGTACTCGACAGGAAACAAAAAAGAAAGGAAAAGGTCAAGCAAAATTAGCTGAATACATACTAATCTACAGGGGCGTAGCAAAAGAAAACAGGGCCAAAGAAGGTGTGGCCTTACTAATACACCAAAGGTACCAAAATCACATCAAAGAGTGTCAATACATATCAGAAAGAATAGTAACAGCAAAGATAAGAATGGAGAAGGAAGATCTAAACATAATCGGAGTATACGGCCCAGAAAATCTTCTTTTTGTGCCACTCCTATCGGAGATTGGAAATCATCAAGGCTATTCTGACCTTGTTTATGGCTGACCTAAAGAGTTCATTAGTGGTGCAGCCAAACCACTCTCTCAAATTCCGCAACCATGACATTTTTCTACGGCCTGGATTCCGTTTTCCTTCTATTTTTCCCTGCATTATATTTTGAAGTAATGCGTATTTATGTCTTCATGTCTTCAGGTGACCAAAATATTCGAGTTTTCTTCGCTTTAGCGTTAACAAAATCTCTGGGTCTTTTCCTATTCTTCGTATTACTTCACAGTTTGTTATTCTTTCAACCCAACTAATCATCAGCATTCGACGGTAGCACCACATCTCGAAACTTTCAATATTTTTCATGTTGTTCTGTTTGAGAGTCCAGGCCTCTACACCGTATAATAGCGTGTTAAATACATAGCCTCTCAGCATTCTTAATCGTAGAGGGATGCTTATATTTCTGTTGCAGAAGAATTTTCTCATCTTTATGAAGGTGGCCCTGGCAATTTCGATACGTCTTTTTATTTCACTGTTTTGGTCTCCAGTTTCGTTTATTAAAGTTCCCAAGTATTTGTAACTTGATACTTTTTTAACTTGAGTGCCGTTTATACTAATATACGCTGGTTGTGTCATGTTTTTACTGAAGACCATATACTTGGTTTTTTTAATATTGATATTTATACCATAATTGTTGCAAGCAATATTTATGTCTGTAAGTAATCTTTGTAATTCTTCTACTGTTCTTGCAACTAGTACAGTGTCGTCCGCGTATCGAATATTATTTACAATCTCTCCATTAATTACGATTCCTCCGTTTGCTTGTAAAAGGGCTTCCTGACAGATGCTTTCACTATATACATTAAATAACAGAGGTGACAAAATGCAACCCTGTCGTACTCCTCTACGTATTTCTATTGCTTGTGATGTTTCAGTTTCTATTTTGATGTTAGCTTTCTGATTCCAATATAGATTGAGAATTATTCGCAGATCTTTATTATCTATGTCCTTCCTTTCAAGAATCTCTCTAAGCTTATCATGGCGTACTCTGTCAAACGCTTTTTCAAAATCGATAAAACACGTATGTACCTCCTGATTAACGTCTAGGCATCTTTGTGTGAGAACATTCAAACCGAAGAGAGCTTCTCGAGCACCAAGCCCTTTTCTGAACCCCATCTGTGTATTACTAATATCTGACTCCAACTTTTGATAAACTCGGTTGTGGATGATTTTTAGAAATATCTTTAGTAGGTGGCTCATTAAAGATATTGTTCGATGTTCTGAACATTCTTTAGCATTAGAAAATAGCAAGCCTCAAACAACAAGGGCCGTATTTTACGACCAATTACAACAAGTAGTAGATCAAGTCAGAGGAAGATGATAATATTGGAGGATTTTAACGCTCGAATAGGCAATCAAGTAATACGCAGCATTAAAAAAAAACATAAATAGAATGTTAAAAACGAAAATGGAGAACTGATGATCAACTTTGAATAACGAACGAAGAATAAACAACACATTTTTTGACCACAAAGACCAACACAAATATACATTTAATAACACCCGTGGACAAAGATCTTTGATACATTATGTTATAACCAACACAGATAGATATACATCTATCAAAAATAATCGACGTAAGATGCCTCAACTCGGCAGATGTAGGTAGTGACCATAGCCTAGTATTATGTAAAATAATAATCCTGAAATACTTCCCACACAAGAAAGCGGCGTCAACACAAACGAAAATCAAAGTCGCAGGACTAAATATGGAATCTACGGAATACTTATACAGGAAGACAATATCAGAGAAGATCGCTGGTAATGAAATATTAGAAAACGATAACATCGAGGAAAGCTGGGAAAACACAGCAGAATCACTTGGAGAGAGGAAAGTAACGAATACTAACATATCAAAAAAGAAAACACTATGGTTTGGAGAGGAAGTGAAGACAAAGTGTGAAGAAAAGAAGAAAGCCTTTTTACAGTACAGAACACAATAAACACAACAGGCAACCACTATAAACGAATCAGAAATGAAGGAAATACTTTAGTTAGACAAATAAAAAGGGAAAACTAGCAGTTTCTCAAAACAGATGGAACACGATTTCTACGGAACACAAAAAGAAATGTGAAGAATGATCAGAGGACAAAGAAAAGAGATGAACGAACGAGATAAAAACGAAACATTCAGAAGGAAACAGATGACGACAAACGAAGAAATGAATATTGAGGAAGAGGTAAAGGAAGCATTAAGGAAATTAAAAAATAGAAAATCACCAGCAGAGGACAGAATACCGAACGAACTCCTAAAGTACGGAGGACCAGATCTGACCAAACAACTATTAAAACTAATCCAAAAAATAATAGAACAAAACAGAATTCCTCAAGAATGAAGATCAAGCATCCTAATACCTCTCTTCAAAAAGGGAGACAAATCGGACTCGGAAAATTACAGAGGAATTAATTTAAACACAACACTAAAATTAACAACCAAAGCGATAACAAATAAATTGAATGAAATTATAACACTAGCAGAAGAACAACAGGGTTTTAGGTCGGGAAGATCATGCACCGACGCTATATTTATAATGCGGCAAGTGACCGGCAAGGACCGAGTCAAATTAAAAGACGTTATCCACTTACTGTATGCAACAGAGATACCTCTAGAAATAATCAAAACGATCGAAAATATCTACCAAAACAACACAATAAAAGTAAAAGTAGAAGAAGAACTAACCTTCCTATTAAAGCTGGCAATGGGGTAAGACAGGAAGATTCCCCAAGTCCTCTATTGTTCAACCTGATTATGGATTAGATAATAAAAAAAGGATACCAAATGGGAGAAAAACAACTTAAATAATCTGCTATGCAATATTACTCTCTCTTCAATAAAGTGAAGATGATTTACAACGACAAAATGCATGGTTACAACAGCAAATTTACTGATGAAGATGTAAATTGGAGCTGGAAGGTCAGATAATAGAACAAGTGACGGAGTTTAGATATCTAGGCATCACATTATCTAGCTACGGAAAGCCCGAAACCCAAGTGGAAGATCAAGTGAATAGAGCAAACAGAGTCGCAGGCTGCCTAAATGAAACACTATAGAGAAATAAAAATATCGGGAAAGAAACGAAAGGCAGAATTAACAAAACAGTCATCAGACCAATAATGACATACGCGGCAGAAACAAGACCTGACACAGAGGACAAAAAGGATGTTAGAAACAGCAGAGATGAAAACACTTAAAAACAGAAAAATTGATGGTAAGACACTATGGGACAGAGCTAGAAGTACAGATATACGACGTAGATGCAAAACTGGGTAAGAAATAGAAGAGTAGAATGGAATGATCATATATGCAGAATGACAACAAATAGACTAGTAAAGACGGCAAGAGACGGTTCCCCAATAGGAAGACGATCAGTAAGAAGACCACGAAAACGATGAAATTACAACATACTGGAGGCACATTGAAAAACAGACAGAGTCATGTCTATATAAACAGAAAATTAAGAAGAATTTAGTAATCAAATAACGATACAAAAAAGAAAATAATTTACTCAAATAACATTTAAAAAAAATTTAACCATATTACCATTGAAAAAAAATGGCAACACGCGGATAAATAAAAAACAACATTAATTTTATTTAGATAAATTGTTCAAAGTGACCTCTCAAAACATTTATGCATGCTTAAAAGCGACCTTTGAAAGAGTTTTTTACATTACGAAGCATTTATAAAGAAGTATTTTGAAATATATTTCGAATTCTATCTTTTATATCATCCCTTGTTGATGGGGATGTTTTATACACTTTATTCTTAACATAACCCCAAAGAAATCTGGTGACTTGCGCGGTCCATCCCTTCCATTCCATCTTTCACCAAACTGATCATTAAGTTCACCACATAATAATTCGTTATATGGTTATAATTCGTTACGGTGCCTGATTCGCGATATGTATCAAGTTCTATTAAAAAAAATATGGTTCTGCTACATGGTTACTGACGATACCTCCGCACACATTTAGCGAACATCTTGTTTGAGATTTGACTGTTACTATATGATATGAATGATGAGGGTGTTTTATACACTTTATTCTTAACATAACCCCAAAGAAATCTGGTGACGTGCGCGGTCCATCTATTCCGTTCCATCTTTTACCAAACTG